ATTCCTTAAACTGCATTTAAGTCTACTCCAATTAAATATGAGTGTTTTCGCTTACGCGTCAAAATCAACTATTACGCTACCAGCGTATCAAGAACTCTAAGAGACTACTAAATATACTCTAAAGTATTCATTTATTTAATAAAACATCACTCAGGTATATAATATGTCATTCTTCTTCAATAAAAAGAACTACAGAAACATATTTTCCTGCTAATTTTATGAATTGCTTTGTTGCCACTCCTAAGAAACTAAACTAACGGAAAAGTAACGAAGAAGAAACAGTTAAACTTTATAGAATGAAGACTGTACGGTATTTTCCAATGCACTATATCTTGCAACGGTAGGGTACGAAATGCGCCAAATTTGTTCGAAGATCCCTGTCCCCCTTTTATCTAATCCAAGAACTGCGCGACGTTTCCTGTTCCCTATTTCTTTCCCAAGAAGATTGGGTATTACAAAAAGTCATTTATCGCCATTAATGGGATATTCTATTGAGACTGCAAGCCTTTATTTTCGTTTATCAATATTGTAAAAATTGTGCATGCAAAACAAATATTAATTTAAAGTCTGGCGTATGCTAAAGTAAAAATAAATTTCTCTTACAGTCATTTTAAAGTTTTATGATGCTTAAAGGAATTATGAGCCAGATCTTTTTTATTCTCTATAAGAATTAAAAACTTTCCAAGTTGTAGATTTTAGTCGCTGATATATATATATCAGTTTTTGAATAGTAAAATTGATAGATTAATGACATACACAAAACGGATACATAATCAACCTATCAAATATCGGATTTGTAGCTCACCTTAAATAAGTTTCTGGTCTAGATAAATGTTAACAAATGTTCTTAAATAGCAGAATGATTTTAACTTTCAAATTTACCATTTTAGCTAAACAGTTCTAATTTAATTAAAAAAATTCTCTTCATTAAATCTAAAAATTGGACTTCTTAAGTTGTTCTAAATTCACACTAATATTATTGCAATATATTCCCGTATTAAGCTTTCCATTTTTAGTCATTGAAGTTATTTTAAGGTTATTTAACTTTGTTACAAATTCTATATTTTAATACTAGAAACGTTTAAATATTTTTTCTGTTTTCCACCTATTCAATCCCTAGATCAAAATCAAATCGTCATACGTCAGAATTTCTTAAGCTAGAAGCATGATGATAGTGCATTTGTTCCGATCCCGTTTTATAGCAGTTGAACTTTTCGAACGGGATTCATCTTTGTTTACAAAGTGATATGATCATTAAAGAGCAGTGTCAATTAACCAGTTCCGCTGTTCATACGATAAGGTTATTCCACCCGACTTTCTACTAGAGCAGGAAATTAATTCAGGGCATTTATTTCGAAAAGTTTGCTCATTATCGTTTTGTCGAATTAGGAAATTACTCTTCCGTGAAAAAGCGAAATGCATGGAGAAAGCGAAAGCTAAAGCACCTTTTATTTATTTATTATTTATTTATTTTATGTATTTATTTTGAAACTTATAAGGGTTAAAATAAAAAGCCGAGTTTTTTTCGTTGTATTAAAGAAATATTATTTCCATTTTTAACTTGATAGATTGATTCTATGGCGCTATCATTAAAAAAATATCAAAATCTGTTTTCGTTTTCAAAGAATGTAACGGCGTTTGTAATAATTTCGTTAAGATTTAGACTAAATATTCTTATTTACTTTTTATCTTAATAGAACATCTTCATAACGGCATTTTACATCACGAAATAGAAAATGTGAACAATGCTGAGATCAGTTGTTAAATTTCAGATCTAAGACTTTTTTTTCCCTCTTCTCCCCGTTTATTACTTTTATTATTGTTACTATTACTGTTAATATCAAGAATCATTTCAACCTGTTGTAATCAGAATTTTATTTATATTTTCATTCTGATTCGCAAAATAGGAATTCCTTGAATTCCCATTTTCATACCTCGAAAAGAGACCTCATGAGCCTCGAAAAGTGATCGAATTTAATAGACATGCTTCCAAAACTGATGCAATTCCGGCAGCATACAATTGGTATTACTGACTATATAAGGAAAACTTTCTTACAAATCAGTTTGTGTGCTAGAGACAAGAGACTTTTTGAAATTCCTGTGGTTGAAAGATTCAAATCAAACCGAAATTGTTACCTACAGACACTGTCGTGTCGTGTTCGACATTTCTTCGAGTCCATTCCTGTTGGGAGCAACGATTTCCTACCATTTGGATAATACTCCACAAGATTTAAGAGGAACGGCACTTAGATTGAAGAAATCATTTTATGTCGACAATTGTATAGCTAGTTTCGAAACCGAAAAGGAAGTAGTCAAATTCAAAGAAGAGTCCCAAACTCTAATGTTTTCAGGAGGTTTTGACCTTAGAGGGTGGACTGCTGCACCATTCAAAGGGAGAAACATGATTTCCTATCAGAAGATCATTCCAATTCTGGAACTCTCATGGAACACCAGGAGTGATTAAATTTATTGCAATTTAACCCGTTTGACATTTTTTGAGAGTGTCCACACCCAAAGATCTCTGCTATCAGTTTCACAGAGGATATTCGACCACATTGGATTTACTAGCTACGTTAATTCCAAAACTCATCCTGCAAAAAACATGGAAGATGAAACTTTCCTGGGATAAAAATTTTCCACAAGGTATAGAAAGAGAATTTCAGACTTATCTTCATTCACTTCAGATTACACTTCTTGAATTATTGTAAAATTTCAAGAAGAATTGTGATTGGACCCTTTGACTTTTGCTCGAGATTCAGAAATGAGTACCTAGCCATACTAGTCCATAGAACAGAACGAAAGGGAGACTCTTTACAAGTGGTTGATGTGGTGCTGATTGGATCTCCGGAAAAGCGTATCAACTGGCCACTGGGACTTGTTGTCCAAGTATTTCCAGGTGCAGATGGTCATGTAAAAGTGGCAAAAGTAAAAACGGCTGACGGAGGAAAAATAAGATCCGTCCAAAACCTGTATCCTTTAGAAGTGACTCATCCCTCACAGCTACCTCAGCATTTTCAGCCTCAAGTCTCGTTAAATCCCGATCAAGATGCAGATCATTGAAGATCCTTCCCACTACCACTCTGAATGTTCAGATTGATACATCAAGGACAGTTGAGCCTCTCACTGAGTCCCCTACGATAGACAGACTCATAACCGCTAGGGTCGAAAGACATGTAAAAGTTCCGCATCGACTGATCTCTGAACTGAGTAGAGAATATGTTGCAATTTCGTAAAAGTGCAAGGTGGGAGAATATTAAGGAACGTGCACCAACTCAATTAATACACAATAATTGAATATGTTCATTATAATGTAGATTTTATGTGGCAACAGTGATGTTTCGTTTATATACGCTTTGAGTGTAATAACGCACGGAATGTTCTTTTTGGATATGTTTGGAGTGCTAAAGTAAATAGGTTTGTTGTTAATTAAAAAGGTTTTTCTCTGCGAAATATATTTCCATTCGTCCGAAGTTATTAAAATAAGTTAAGAAATTGATTAATTTCAAAGAGTGACCTTTGTTTTGTAAACACATGAAACAAGTGCCATTTCTGCGTAGTGTTTCAACTTTTTTATCATTTGTTAGTTTCTGTGCAATGGGGCATTTATGGCTTGAATAAGAAAAATTCCAGCAAAAAACGCATGCCTTCATCAATTTTTTTAACACTCTTGGAAACTAAATCAGAAGCGGAAAAAATTTTCGTTTCTAACTTATTGCTTTTTCCATCGCTGTACATCTGTTTTCGCAAATCTTTCTTTTAAAAGAGCAATTGCGGAATCGTAATTAGCAGCATTAATCAAGTAATCCTTCGATTGTATTTAAAGCAGAACCGCCTAAATGAGCTTTCAAATAGTTAAATTTGTCTACTTTATCTAAAAAATCATTTTCATGAATAGCAGACTCGAAACTGTTCCATAAGGTTAGCCAGTTATTTATATGTCCGTAAAATTTCGTTCAAGTTAACTTAGGTGATTTAATTCAAACAGACTCGTTATGTTTTATTTCATTTTAAATGCCAGTACCGAACTGATTATTTCTTCGACTTTAAAAAGAGGTTCTAATTCTGTATCAACAATTTTAAGGGATTCGAAATTATTCTTTAATATTTCTAAATTTTCGTCCAAATCATTACTTTTCGGATCAATTTCCGAAAGCTGCCATTCTAAATCTTTCAGCGATTTCGTTACTGATGTTCGGAGACCTGCGCACTTCTTTTTTAACTTTGTAGGGTTTATATTTATTTTAACTAACATTTATTTTAAGTTTAAATTATCTTTCCTGTCAAGCCTTACTTTCCCCTGTAATTGCCAATGCCAGAGTATGTAAATTTTAGTAGAAGGCGCAAGGATTCAAATTGTCAGCGGAAGTAATCTGAGTTAAATAGAAGGGAAACGAGTTCGAAGGTGTGCTTTCTTGCTTCACGAGCGTGGAGGTGGCTAGTAAGAAATTGAAGAACCACGCGTTTCGGCCTGAGTGCTTGCCTCGGCAGATTGTTAATCTTTCAACGTAATATTCAGAAATTTGCTGAATTATCAGCGGTATTTTAGAACGCGGTGAGGTTAGTTACGTTTAGAGAGCCTCATAGTTAGTCACTTGTTACTATTCTTTTCTTAGTTTCTTATTTTTATTTTACCGCCGGGTCGGCGTAATTTGTGAGCGTCAAGAGCACGCATTTGTAATTTCTAAAGTTGAATAAAAAGGGATTTAAACCCTTCTCAAGACTTTGTCTACTTTCCAGTTCTTAGCAGTCACCACTATTGTTGCGTGCAGGTTGGAAGCGCGCAACATTACAACTTATTTAAAATCTCTTCAGCCTTGTTCTTAACAGTTTAAAAATTCAAAAATCAATACGTAATCAATAATTGTATTCTAAATCTTTTATTCTATATTTTAAATCTTAATTCTAAATTCTTATTCTTAACTCGGCTGTACCGAACAGGGATGACAAATATATATGTAGATTCTCAATCAGAATTCTAAAGGCAAAAACACATCTCTTACCTTTTCTATCTTCCAGGTGGCCGAGATTACTCCATTATGTTCTGAAAGAAATTCTAATTCAAACACTGGTGAAATAATTCACACTGCCGCATTTGGTAAATATAAAGAAAGAATATATTACATTTTATATGCACAATTAAATTACGTTACATGGACATTGCGCGCTTTCCTTCACACAGCCATTCTAGATCTGTTTTTTGGTGTTCTATTTTCATTTTTTGTCAAGATTGTTCTAGAGTTTAGATGTAATGGAGTTGATAGTCCAGAGTTTAGATGTAGCAGCAGGAGGTGTGAAAAATGTTACATGCCCTCCCCAGGACTCGGACCCTAGACTTCTCGAATACGCGCCGATTATGCTTCTAATTACACAAGGAAGGCATGCAGAAAGGAGGGAGAAAATACCTTATAACCTCTTTGAAAAGTGGAAAATATACTATACGTTTCTGTCTACTTGCTATATAAAGTTTAATATTTTCGATTAGTTGAAGACTATTGTAGTAAAGAAAGCTTTTGGAAATGATCGAAAAATAATTACCAGATTTTCTAGTATATTTACAAAGTTATCACTAAAAAAGGAGGCCCTTCGGCAGAAACCGCACAGTTGAATTTCTTTTAGTATATAGGATATTCTTCGGAGAATAGCCTTGGCGCCAAAAAAGGGAGAAGCAGCTTATTACGGTAATCGTATTAATCTGAAATAATATTTTCACAACCATACACATACTGTTTCAATACTTAGGTTTTCAAAGCAGAAAAATTTGTAAAATAATACACATCCAGAATT